AGACAACCCCGTAACAATATGCGTTTTGTACTGCTGTTACACAGCACAAAACGCATAATAAAGCGGTGATCCAAACTTCCATTCCTACTCATTTTCTGCGAAGGCAATAGTACTCAAAATTAGCACAAAAATTGGCACGTTTCCCGCTGAGAGGCTCTCGGTGGTTTGGGTTTCACGGAGCTGTGTAAGCAACATGCAGCTTGACAACAGACGTTTGGCTGCGTATGGCATATCGCGCTGTGTCCGTGCTGAAAGGTCGAGGGTTCAATCGCCAGTCCCTGTACAATTCATTCCTTCATATCGATGGTAAACCGGTACTGCATATGGAGGAGAATTAAAGCCTGTTCTCAAACAGCGTTGAAAAAAGGGTGCCTTGGTAGCTTCACGAAAGAGGGTTACTAGTTAGCATTTGCTGTCATTTGGGCTACTTCCAGGTGCTTTCGCCGTTGTTTTGTTACTGAGTATTTTTCCATTGTTTCATTCAGAGTATGGCGCGAACAAAGGAATAAAATTGTTGGCTTCCCAGCACGACGTCACTCTCAACAGGAAAATGGAATTTTATACGACAGCAATCATACTTGCCAGCTGAGCATGATTTTAACCGGAGCCGCATTCATACACAAAGTAATCAAACATGCTAAATTTGCTCAGTACCGCTTCCTGCATGTCTTGTTATTAAACAGGACCACGATTTATTAAAGGGTTCAATTATAAACCGAACAATTTAAGAAAAAAAAATTCCCCCACAATTTCGCAGTGTAGAGTTTGGTTTATTGCGAAATATTGACAAATCAGTCTAATATAGTGTCGGGGGGAAAGAAAAAAATTATCGCAGCTTCATCATAACTTCAGCTTCTTAGGGCTCAAAACTCAGCCTTCCCTGTTCAACAGTCTTATAGCTCACACCCAATTATTTTTAATATATGAATTAATCTACTCATTTTTATGCGTTTTTTTCCATCTATGCAATGCAAAACGCATACTGTCGAGAGGTTGTCTGTGTGCTTGCATGTGCGTCTGTACCGATCTTTTCTTTTTACACAATAAGTAGTAATTGGCAACTGAAAGTGAACAGAAAAAACCCGCGCAGTATTTAATGTATTATATCACAGAGGCGGGAAATGAGCAGACATAAATTTCCGAGAATTTTTTGGATATCCTCGACATTTCTGAATTTTTACCCACTTCATAGAAGTAAAATTTAAAAAGTTCTTTTTTCGGAGATCAAGAAAATTTGTAAAAGATTTTGCTTTTTCAGTGTCAGCTACTCTTTTTAATTGTCTTTGAAGAGTAAACGGGGTACAGCTAAAAACTAATTTTTTAACCACTGCGCATTTCTTGTTCCACTAAGCAGTGTTTTTTTCATACTGTGAAGTAGCCACAATCGTGCTGGAAGCTTTTGCTTGGAAATTATTCTCGGGGAACTGAGTTTGGAAGGAACTGCTAGGAGGGCAGCTCTTCCTAATTTTTTACTTGTCACTTTTTTGTTGGGCATTTGCTATTATGATATACTTCGGCGCATTCGATGGATCTGTCATTGCTTCCATGATTGGCTCCAGTACACCAATTAGCAACGTTTTGTGGCTCCTGGCAACAGTTTTCATCAATAGAACTCTACTTGGAGGCTATCATCTAACAGTTAAGATCACAAGAGTGCAAAGGGACCCGAAGGCCATATTGCCATGGAAATACTGGGCAGTTTTTTACTTAGTATTTTTCATAGCACATAGACAGTTGCATTCGAAATGAGAGAGAATGCCAGTATGATTAATAACTTGGGACATCTACACTGGCAGCCTGGGCAGTCTCTGTATTCTTAATTTTTTGCATAAATTAATGAAAATGAAAGTAAGCTAATTGTAGGCGTATCTCTATGCTTATACCTATGGAATGCCTGAAGTGATAAGAGAGAAAGTGGACGAATTAATCAATTGTGAAGATCTAGCAATGAACTTTCTGGTTGCTCACATAACACGTCAACCGCCGATAAAAACTACAAGCAAATGGACGTTACGGTCAGTTTTGCATTCGACAAATTTCTAAAAAAAAATTTTTTTAAGACAAATCAAATTGCAAATGGGAAGGACAGCATTTCCAGGCTTGCCTAGGCCTGGCAAAGCGTGACAACTTGAAAGATTAACTGGAAAAGTTGCACTCAGAATTCTGA